CAGAAAAGTGGGTGAAGGGAGACGTCAGACAGTATAAGATAAGACAATAATTTATAAATTATCAAGGGTTCATGAGGGAGGAGGGAGTGGGAAAGGAGGGGAAAAATAAACCGATACCAAGGGCTCAAGTAGAAAGCAAAAGTTTTGGGAACGATGATGGCAACAAGTATACAAATGTGCTTGACACAATGGATGTATGTATGGATTGTGGTAAGAGTTGTACGAGCCCCCACTAAAATGATTAAAAAAACACAGGCTCCCTTTCATCTTGGGGGTATAGTGGAAGGGTTTCAACCTCTGACCCATGGGGTGCCCGCTGAACTCCCAGTATATTAGGTACTAATAGTGCTATTCTTGAAGTCTCCTGGGCCTGCCGTTCGTGGTGGGCTGTTACTCAGCATGAGGCCTTCAGGCTCCAGCCGTCTGGGCTCTTACCAAGGCTTCAGTACTGCCTGGCATGCGTGCACCCATTCTGTCTTCCATTCAGCTGGTGATGGGCACTTGGGTGCCTTCCTCCTTTGGCTCTTGTGAGCAGTGATGTCTGAAGAGCTGTCTGTGGCTAATGGCTGCCATCTGGGATGCCATGGGCCTAGAGAGAAAGACGTGGAGGCTGCTTCTGGGAAGATGGCAGTTTTGGGAAACCTATGGGGCCGCTCTGCTTTGTCCTGTAGGATGGCTGAGAGTCAGAATGGACTCCCTGCCAACAGGCACTTTGTGTGTGTGTGTGTGTGTGTGTGTGTGTGTGTGTGTAATTAGAAGAATAGTTGATCTGGTGTTACTTATTGTATTTAATATCATGACAACTCCCCTGGGTCACCCCTAGCGCACACACACACACACTCTCTCTCTGTCACACACACACACAAACTCGTAATAAAATCAGACTAAACATCTGATTCCTGATTCTTCTGGTAGACAGGAGTTGTGTCTTCTTTCAGGAGGGAGGGGACACAGAGGAATCGCCGCACTGTTGGTGGACTGAAGCCTGCAGGAATCCTGAGAGCATTTCCCTTCATCACAGACAAAGAGCCGTCTTTGAGTTGCTGGGAGGTACACAAAGGGAGACCTGGCTGGGACTGGGGAGGGAGCGAGGAGGGTGGGGAGAGTGACTGACAGTGGGGTACCCACGTGTGTGATGTTGGTACCTGGGATACCAGCGCCAGTGGTCCTGGTCACGGGGTCACTTCCTGCTCCTGACAAGCCCTCTCGTGTGTGTGTGTGTGTGTGTGTGTGTGTGTGTGTGTGTGTCTCAGGGTTTCCAGTGGCTGATTTTTTGGAAGTAGAATTCCAGGCCTGTCTTTCG